ACACACACACACAAAAAAAAAAAAAGCACACCGCAACAACAAGAAACACACAACAACCAACAACGACAAAACATGCCCGGCCACAGCAAAAGAACCAGCGCAATTGCAACGGCGCGAAGCACCAGCAACAACAATGGGGACACCCAGCAACCATCAGCATGAATACAAGCGATCATGCGACCGAACACGCCCTTGGCGTAAAGGTTCGCAGCCTAGCACCTTGCACCCGAGAGGCGTCACTTGGAAGATGTTGAGCTGGTTGTTGACATTGTAGCCCATGAACTGGCGCGGCTTGGATCTATCTAATCCGTTGCCGCTATTGATAAAACCCCCCTAATATTAAATAATAAATCNNGGGCTGTACTACTTTTAAAAAGGAGCCAGGCCATAGTGAATTGGGGGGTTTTGAGGTCATTAGGGGGGTATAATAAAAAAAACCAAAGGAATTAGGGACCCCCTTGACATGCTAGGTTTTGGTTGAATTTCATTTGGTTTTATGAAGGATATTTAACTAAATCCCAATTGAGTTTCATTCGATTTTAATCGATTTTACATGGCTGTTAATCGATTTCATTTGATCTTTACCGGAATTTTAATTCAATTTCGATTGATTTTGACGGGACTTGAATTCGATTTCAATTGATTTCAACGGGATTTTATTCTCATTTCAATTGATTTTAACGGGATTTAAATTCGATTTCAATTGATTTCAACGGGATTTTAATTCAGGTTCAATTGATTTCAACGGGATTTTGTTTTGATTTCAACGGATTTTAACGGGATTTTATTTTGGTTTCAGTTGATTTCAACGGGATTTTATTTCGATTTCAATTGATTATAAAAGGAATTTTGATTAAATTTCAATTGAGTCTAACGTGATTTTAATTCGATTTCAATGGATGTTAGCGGATTGCGGATTTTAATTCAATTTCAATTGATTTTAGAAGGAATCTAATTAAATTTCAATTGATTTTAACGGGATTTTAATTCGGTTTCAATTAATTGTCAAGGAATTTTAATTCAGATTTTAAAGGAATGTAAAGGCAGCCCTACCAAATTCTTTCAATAAATATCACCCCCTAGTAATAAATAAATTCTGAACCCCCCGGATTACTTATTGTTGGGGGAGACGTCGTTTATTATTAAGGGGAAGGGATTACAAGCAGCATGCGCAAGCCCCAAATCCCCCGTTGCGTTGTAGCGGGCACATGTGGAACAACTTGATTTGAGACATCGGCATGATGCAAAAGATGTGGCTTTCAGAAATGCCACATTGACAACACTTGCTACCGTCCTAGGGGGATAGTCCGGGGATCCCAGCCTAGGCCCAAAAGCAGCAAGCATGTATCCTCAAACATGACCAGTGATGAGGAATAGAAGCAACACGTTAAATGGCCGAAGCAGTCAGAATCGAATCCTCACTCTATGAGCTATAGGCTATAGTCTTAGCCCCTAGCATCCCCTCTTGATAACCGCTATAATACTCTTTGTAACCCCCTATATAAGCCCGCTTTATGGAGTTTAAACTATAGCCCCTATGGAGCCTCTGTCTCGTCCAGTGCTGCGTCCGGCTCAGCCGTCCAAGTGTGGAAGGTGTCAATGCGCCTAAGACCGAGCTGGGCACGAAGATTCCTCAAGTTCATTAGTTTTTGGGGTGGTACAACTCGCAACATACAGCTCAATGTGCAACTAATTATGGCCTCCGAAAGGAAGACACTTCAGCTTGTCAACAATCTGAGGTTTGGTGGTAATCTGATTGGATGCTTGTGAAGAGAAAGGTGCCCTGCGATCAAGGCCTGAGACTAGACTACCGTAAGCCTATAATCAGCTTGAAATAAGCAGGCTTCCCATTTTATACGAGCATTCCGAAGGAACCCGACACAATCTCAGATGCAGAACGTTGACCCTCTACCTCCAATGTCTAACAGGAATGATATCAAGCCCGGGGGCCATGTCTCCGCGATTGCTGCAGTCGGCGGATTGTAGATCCAGACAATCAAGGTATACCTGAGCATACTAGAATATACTAGAATATACTATAATATACTATAATATACTATAATATACTATAATATACTATAATATATTATAATATACTATAATATACTATATTATACTATAATCTACTATAATGTACTATAATGTATTGATGTGCATCCACAGCGGCTTGAGGTCTAAAATCGACGCTGGCAATTTAGGGTTTAGGGTTTAGGGTTTGGGGTTTGGGGTTTGGGGTTTAGGGTTTAGGGCTGGCACAATGCGTGTCATAACGATGGACCCCCAAAAAAATCTGGTTCACATCTTGTTTCATTCATGGAGGTCCCTACATTTACATGTTGGGTTGGGGTCATAGGACCATTACATGAACCGATGGCCTGATTGCTTGGAAGCCCTTGGCGTGTGATCTATTTTGTAAAGAATGGGGCTTCGGGTTTAGGGATACCATATCCAAGAGGAAGAAGCAATCTTACTCCAGACCCGTGATTAATAAACCCCCTCCTTTTAAGGCCCTTAAAATTCGGATCCCTATTATAATCCCTATTACTGGGAAGGGGGTTATTAATTATAATATACTATAATATACTATAATATACTATAATATACTATAATATACTATAATAAACTATAATATACTATAATGTACTATAATGTACTATAATATACTATAATAAACTATAGTATACCATAATATACCATGATATAATATGAATATAACGTAATGTACCATGGGGAGACTATGGGATGCCCAAATAAAAGTACTTCACAAGTATACTCGTGGACTGGCGACCCCAAGCCACTCCCGTGAAGACCTTGAAGCCTCTGGGTGCCCCACGGATATGAACCTCGGATGTCCTTGTTGCCAGCCATGTAGAGCAATTGTTTCACTGTGTTCTCCACCTGTGGGCCGATGTATCGGTTACAAAGGCCAAAGCAGAAACGGCGCACGACGTGCTTGACTGGGGCGCATCTCACTGGACCATGGGTCAAGCACCAAAACCATCCTTCCGAAGTCTGTTCCACCTTGACCCCGAGACAAATAAGCTTGCCGCCCTGCAGGAGTAGTCTGCATTCTCGAACACCACCGAGCCGTCTGTCACGAACAGCTCCACCTGTTTCTGCGTAAGACTTCATTGGAATCGCACGACGTGACGCGAGTTGCTTGGCAAACAAGGCAAGCAGCTCAAGCTCGTTTCAGCATCCTCTGGGTATGTTCCACCAACCGGCGACTGACATCCGCAAACACAGCATCTAAAAACACAGAGGGCGCCACATCTCATGTTGAGGACAGTGGCCCGGCCCACCCCGGCCCTCTCCCAATCCAATGCTACCCATGCTGGTTGCCAAATAGATACTGACGCAGTGCTCACTGCAGATGCTGCCTCGCCTGGCACTGTGAATTTGAGTGCATGATCTCGTAGCCAACCGGCACCTGGCTGTGAAAGGCAAAGATCATGGAACTTGACTTCCATTATGGACCTCATCGGTTATAAAACCATCATCTACTATAAAATGGCAGGCCCACGTACCCCTGATAGACTAGGCACAACTCGCTGAGCCAACCTACTTCTTCTCTGACATGAGGCCCCCAAGTAACCCTGCATCCCAAACTTGGTCCGATGCACCCACTCTCATTTTTCGCACAGGGTCTACAGTGATTCTAGCCAGATGATACCCACCAATTTTCCCTTTTACATGTACTGTATACCCAACCGTTTACAGGACTTCATTTGGGCCTTTAGCAAGGTCTACAGTGATTCTAGACAGAGGCTACGAGATATGATGCCCGCCAAGTTTCCAATGTACTGTATGTACTGTATACCCAGCCCTGCACCACATGTGCATTATTGTTTCACATCGATGTCTTGTGTAGTGCTGTACGGAGCACTGCATACACGCCAGAACTATTTTGATCACATTCCGACCACAGTAGACGAAAGCAGCATGCGTTCTCTGTGCCGCAACCTGCAGTGCGCGGAGGCTTGCGGGCTAAGAGCTACATGTTGACGCTCTCAGCAGAGCCATGCGGAGCACCTTCCACGTCGCTGGCCGGCTCGAATCAGTTGCCGGGCGGGGAAGTATTCCATTTTTCACAAATACAAGCATCAGAGGTCACTCGCAAAGCCCTGCAGGAGTCCTTTGCCGGCAGCGCAACGGGATCCTGGAAATGATTCTGGATGAACTGGTCAAACTCAGACATCTCACCCATCCGCGCAAGCATGGCTGTGATGGTTCTCTTCGCACCTGCAGCACCGGCCACCCGTTCTGGAGTAAGAAAGCTGGCCTGCTGCGCATGTGTAGTGCAGCGTCTCTCTAAGCGACCCAGTCACGCTGACCATGTGTGCGAGGCATGAGTTGAACAGACAGGCGATGCGGGACAAGGGGGCGATCTTGTCCTCGCGGTAGGTCTGTTGCCAGCCGACAAGTGAGGCCCACGCCGCACCATACTGGAAAGTCTGGGGACTGCCACGAGATGTAGCGGGCTGTATGCCAGCCTTGGGTGGCATGGCGCACGGAAGTGCTGTGGGGCTGGGCTTCCGCAGTGCCCGATGAGAAGCAACAACCACGCGCCTGCTCAGAAGCACGGGACTAGCAGCGAAGTCGGGGCAAGCAACCACTGCCCCAGCATGAGGGCACACTCGGGTCTTTCTGCCAGAGGTACGCCCCAAGGAGCAGGCAATGCATCGCATCAAAGTTCGTACTGATGTCCGCTAGACTTAGAGAGCACGTCGGCTCAAGCGAATGCACGGTGGAGCGATCCAACTGCAAATGTTCTTTCACTCGGCGCGAGCCCTCTGTAAGTTCCGAAAAAACCGCTGCAACGCCCGGCCGTGGTTGATGAATTGACATCAGCCACAGTGCCATAATTTCCTGGAAAATAAGTCAGCTGGCGTTGCATCGGGGTGCCAATTGGCCACATGGCACCGGAACACAGCAGGACAGAGTCTCCTCAGCAGCTTGCCAAGACGGCACAACGTCCACAGTGACCCGTATTGACATGCGCGATACGCCCATTGCGCTTGGAAATGCCTGGATTGCTTGTGAATCATCGGAACAACGATTCGAAGTCATCTGTCCAATGCTCTACTGTGGGGCTGGCTCCTTTTTCTCCTCCTGATCCAACCCGTCCTCCTCAACCTCGTACTCCACTTCATAGTGTTCTTCCTCTTCATCCTGCCAGAGGAATTCCAGCATTGACAATACCAATGCATCTACACGCGCATCTCCGAGCATGATGGTCGCCATGGCTGAGAAGGTTTGGCGTCGAGCTTGGCAACAACGACGTGTGCTTGAGCCGCAATGGACCGCACCAACTTCTCTTTTGTTCGGAGTATGGCATCCCTTCAAGATTTTGAATTTCTCACACTTGGAGGCAAACAAAAGAAACATCTAAGTTAGGTTGATGGCGCTGTGGCCCAACCTTGAAGCTCCAAGATCCAAATAACTCCTTGAGTCCTCAATTGTGTTGCAAGTGGAAGGCTGCTGCCTTAGCCAACCGGCACCGGGCCATGAAAGGCAAAGACCATCGAACTTGGCTTGAATGGTAGTTGGTCCTGTTGTTCTACTACAGCTGCACGCGCTCGACCACATGCGCATTATTGTTTCACATCGAAGTCTTGTGTAGTGCTGTACGGAGCACTGCATACACGCCAGAACTATTTTGATCACATTCCGACCACAGTAGACGAAAGCAGCATGCGTTCTCTGTGCCGCAACCTGCAGTGCGCGGAGGCTTGCGGGCTAAGAGCTACATGTTGACGCTCTCAGCAGAGCCATGCGGAGCACCTTCCACGTCGCTGGCCGGCTCGAATCAGTTGCCGGGCGGGGAAGTATTCCATTTTTCACAAATACAAGCATCAGAGGTCACTCGCAAAGCCCTGCAGGAGTCCTTTGCCGGCAGCGCAACGGGATTCTGGAAATGATTCTGGATGAACTGGTCAAACCCAAACATCCAAACCATCTGCGCAAGCATGGCTGTGATGGTTCTCTTCGCACCTGCAGCACCGGCCACCCGTTCTGGAGTAAGAAAGCTGGCCTGCTGCGCATGTGTAGTGCAGCGTCTCTCTAAGCGACACAGTCACGCTGACCATGTGTGCGAGGCATGAGTTGAACAGACAGGCGATGCGGGACAAGGGGGCGATCTTGTCCTCGCGGTAGGTGTTGCCAGCCGACAGGTGAGGCCCACGTCGCACCATACTGGAAAGTCTGGGGACTGCCACGAGATGTAGCGGGCTGTATGCCAGATACCAGGCGCAAACAAAATCTGGCCCGACAGGCCAAAGGCGCCCGTGGCAGGGGGGCACCGTCTTACCGTCTCACCTGTGGGAGGCAAACGAGGAGGAGCCTACCGCCCGCTTGGCTGCAAGCTCACGAGTCCGCTTGAGGCCCGTCTCAGGCCTTGGGTGGCATGGCGCACGGAAGTGCTGTGGGGCTGGGCTTCCGCAGTGCCCGATGAGAAGCAACAACCACGCGCCAGCATGAGGGCACACTCGGGTCTTTCTGCCAGAGGTACGCCCCAAGGAGCAGGCAGTGCATCGCATCAAAGTTCGTACTGATGTCCGCTAGAGAGCACGTCGGCTCAAGTGAATGCACGGTGGAGCGATCCAACTGCAAATGTTCTTTCACTCGGCGCGAGCCCTCTGTAAGTTCCGAAAAAAAACGCTGCAACGCCCGGCCATAATTAATGAATTGGCATCAACCACAGTGCCATAATTTCCTGGAAAATAAGTACCTGGCGAAAGCAGCTGGCGTTGCATCGGGGTGCCAATTGGCCACATGGCACCGGAACACAGCAGGACACAGTCTCCTCAGCAGCTTGCCAAGACGGCACAACGTCCACAGTGACCCGTATTGACATGCGCGATACGCCCATTGCGCTTGGAAATGCCTGGGTTGCTTGTGAATCATCGGAACAACGATTCGAAGTCATCTGTCCAATGCTCTGCTGTAGGGGCTGGCTCCTCTTCGTCTTCCTGATCCAACCCGTCCTCCTCAACCCCGTACTCCACTTCATAGTGTTCTTCCTCTTCATCCTGCCAGGGGAATGCCAGCATTGACAACACCAATGCATCTAAACGCGCATCTCCGAGCATGATGGTCGCCATGGCTGAGGTGGTTTGGCGTCGAGCATGGCAAACAATGACGTGTGCTTGAGCCGCAATGGACCGCAGCAACTTCTCTTTTGTTCGGAGTATGGCATCCCTTCAAGATTTTGAATTTCTCACACTTGGAGGCAAACAAAAGAAACATCTAAGTTAGGTTGACGGCGCTGTGGCCCAACCTTGAAGTTAAAAGATCCAAATAATTCCTTGACTCCTCAATTGTGTTGCAAGTAGAAGGCTGCTGCCTTGTTTGTTCAATGGAAAGCAGCTGACTCAGGCAAGGAACCGTGAGGCGCAGCATCCCGCCAAACTGCTCGTTCGGTGGCTTGGGCCTCATGGCAGGTTGGACTCCAGCACAACTTGGCTGTCCTAAAAACAATGTCCTCAAACTCTCTCTTCCAGCAGGTGCGCATGCTGCTTCACATTGATTTTCGGGAGTTCATGATGATCCCGCAGTAGTGTAGCACAGCACCGCGGGTCTCTGTGAATCAGCCGAGCAACAGGAAAAGGTTTCTGTAAGCACAAGCCCATGTCAGCGGCAATGAAGGTCACTGAAACAGCTTGAAATCCATGCTTAAGGAATCATATCAGGATCACCTTTGGGATCCAGGGCAGGGTCTGCACCTCTACATCTGAGGCCCGGTCGGGATTGTGTTGAACGGCATGAACTCGATGGTCACCTGATATGGAACCAGAAACCTGCGCTTCCGCTGCACACAAGGCCATCGGAAGCCCGAGCATTCGGAATGCTAGGGTGTGGGGAGTGAAGTTTGCCGCTGCTGACTTCTAGTGGATACTGGTGCGGACATTGGAAGTCACAAGTCATCAAGCGTTAACCTAGGTGGGCTCCGTCTCCATTCCTAGTTGGATATGGAAACCTGGGACGATTAAGACCCAGGCAGGCGTCGGTGTGCGCACGATTCCGGCCTTGGTACAGGAGCTTGGTAAGATTCCGCTTCACATTTTTCAGGATTCATGCACCAAGGTTCAGTGTTGAGGGGCTAATGGGAACCAGATTCCTAACTAATTACGATGCTGATCCGACCAACCTGGCCAATTGTCAAGTAGCTCCAGTCTACCCTTGCCCAAACTGCCGTTTTCAACATGTGGGGAAACTACAATACATCGGAGGCTAGGAACCCAAACACGAAGACCTGTAGGTTCACTGTACTTCAGCACACTGCGATAAGGGAAAGGAAGATGGTGCATGATCTTCAGATGAGCCCTCGGCTCCAGTTGGCGATTTCATGGCTCCCACTGCGGCGATGTTCATGTTTGTGAAGGTCCACACCCTCAGCGGACGAGGGATTCAGGTTCTGGTAGTCAATATGGGGGTTATAGAGGGGTTATATACGGAAAATAGAAAGGAAAATGGATGTTAGTGTTTAGGGGTGCGTCCCTCAACTACCTGGACGCACTCATATTACTGACCTTAAGTTGCCCAAAGGCTCTCATCACGAGGGACTCGGGAGTGCTTTGGAGGGCTGAAAGAGCTGAACAGGCTGAAAGAAGAGCCCTAAACCCCTATTCCCCTACACTCTCAACCCCTAAGCTCTAAACCCCTAAACCCTGATCCCTAAACCCTTAAACCCTAAACCGGTTGCATTTCCAGCATTGGCGCCCGTTGCAGGGAAAACAAAGGGCAAAACTGGCTCTAGCGGCTCCCCACCTTCAACAACTTAGCGCTGCGCATCACCACCAGGATTTTTCAGGTATCATAGGGGGTATTTTGGGGGATACTAGGAGTTAGGGGTTACTAAGAGGGATGCTAGGTCTTTGTTGAAACCTCTTGGCCAGGCCGTGACTTGTCCAGGAAGCGATAGCCACAAGAGAGGTCCTCGTTATTGCGAAGCCGGTGCTCTTGGACAACGCGGACTTGACTACAACAAGTGCTGTCTTGTGATTTGCACACGCAGTTGCCTCATGCAAGAAGGCAGTTGCCCAAAGACCTAAGGCTCCTGGTGAGGCTTCTGAATTCTGAAGCCCTAACACCTTTCAATCCTCAACCCCAAACTTGGCAGTCTGTCTGGGGTGGGGCGCCACGTGACCCTACAATCCCTACAGTTGGGGCGCCACAGGACCCTACAACAGCTAGGAGCCCAGCGTGAAGCCCTGGAATGGGTCGGAGGCCTCCGAGGCCAGCAAGACATGAGAAAAGAAGTGGGTTTATGTTGGGATTATAGGGTAATGGAAAAGAAAGTGGAAACTACTATAATGGGGTTATATAGGTATAGAGTTTAGGGTTTAGGATTGGGTTATATAAGGATAATGGAGAAGAAAATGGAAGCTACTATAATGGGGTTGTATAGGGTTTAGGGGTTAAGGGGTTTGGAGCTTGGTTTCGAATATGGGGGTTTCTCAAAATTGGGGGTACCCTTTGCGGGGGTGCCTTATAATAAGGATCATGGTATTTAGAGGGTCTATCTTGGGGTCCCCCTACTCACGGAAATTACCATATAGGCTTCAGGTTTCGGGGCTTAGGATTCGAGGTTTAGCTTCCATCTCCCTTGCTTCTTCCCTGCAAAGAAGCAGCCAGCTTGGAATGACCCTTTAAACGGAACTCAAGCCAAGGCTCCAGCCGCTTTCTTAACCATCCCCCTTTCCTTTACGCAGCCCCCACGATTTGTATTACAGCAGAAGTGTCTACAAGAGGATGGGATTGCAATAACAACAGCAATAAAAGTAGTAATACTATTAACGGTGATAACAAGAGTGATAATAGAATAGCCATGAGAGTAATAAAGATGATAGTGATGATGAAAATCAATATAGTAATGTGGCTGAAGAGGCCTGCTCATTGAAGTTGATGCTCCACTTGTTCCTGGCATCGCTCCCGGGCCGGGCTGCGGGGAACGTTCTGCAAGGATTACATTGAGTACACTTCGCACTGACATGAAAGATCCGGAATGACTAGCAAGATCTGAAGCTATAAGATTCAGATACAAAGGATCACACCTCTGGGTAAAACTTCGCAAGCTGGACCATTCGGGAGTTGACATTGGATTCTTTCGCACGCCAATCCGGAAAACGTAGAGGCCTGGTGCCACGCAGCAAACCTATGAGCTTCCTCAACAGAGATAGATGTACCCCTGCTGCTTCGGTATGGTTCCAAAGCTGCCAGCCCCATGCTACTACTTCTTGGCACCATGAAAAGCCAAGGCTGCAACTGTTCCTCCCCAGACCTGAGGCAGGCTTGCAAGCTCCGCTGCAGCATTTCCTATTATAATGTCGACCAGGTTATGCAGCAAACGTCGCAGCCCCCAATTTCTGGCAGAACGATGGGAGCTAAAAGCTTGCAAGGACAAAATGAGGACGCTAAACTCGCTAAACCTTGAGCCGGCCTTTGGTGACCAGGCCTTGGCGACTTGGCAAAAACATTTCTGGGATACCGGCCGCTCGGAACAGTGATCAGCGCTTCGCGCCCGTTTCCGACACATTTCGTGGGACGATACCTGATGCAACGAGCTCAACGATTAGAGGAAGACACTTGATGGCACATAGCAGAAGCCATCATGAGCCATCGCTAGCATGAATACCTTTCCGATGAGAGCTTCCAAGAACAGCCTCTGGCTGCCCTCGCATCTTCGAAGCTACCATGTAGGGACGGAGGGAGAAGAGGTGAGAGAAAGGGGGCCGCAGCCAACAGCGGCCAGTAAGCTGGAAAGCCACGTTCTGGTTCAACACTTTGTGATCAACATTGAGATCATAAGTTTGAAATGCGATGTAATGCAGGTTCCTCAAATTGCATGATACGAGGCCGCAGCTCCGGCGGCCACTCGGAGTAGTCTGGCGGCCACACGTCCTTGCTACATGGCGCTTGAGAAGTGACACAGAAAACAGATAACTCTCGGTGATGAGGATTTGACTGGCTAATGCGATAACGTAGCTGAGCACTAAGCAAAGAGGGAATCTGAGCAAACCCGCACATGTTCAGGTCCTGCGTGTTTGGCCCGAAGACATCGTTCCTGTCCCTGGCGCGAGAGTCAAGTCCGTTTTGCCAGCAGCGGAGGACAGATCTGTAAACATCGAAACCACACATGCTCTCAAGAGAATCGCAAAATCCTCGTCGCAAACAGCCGCGGAATCCCCTCGCTTAGTGGGCGATTTATCGAGAATGCCCTGGGCTCCTCCAGGCGCCATAACAACAACTGTAGTCTATATGCTGTGCATTGTCCGCTCCAGATTGGACATGGACCCATCATCCCTGTGCAGTGAACAGTCGGGCTCACACACATTGGACATGGCTCCCTCACTCGAACCCACAATGCCGCAAAAGGCGCCAGATGATGCCAGAGCACGTGCAAATGAACAGCCAACCCTGGTTCTCGGCCAGATGTAGCAAGTGCCCGCATTACAAGGTTGCCTGTCTTCGCTGACTTCAAACTTCTCGCCCTTTTCAAGAAGCAACTGACTATGTTCTTCCAGCGCATCAGGAGATACGCTTAAAGGGCGAGTTCTCAGGGCTGTCCCTGACATCTGGGATCTTCTGGTTGCTCTTTCTTAGCCTTCTTGCGAGAAGAACTCCTGTGGATCTACTACATTTCAGATGAAAGGATGAAGGAAAGCATTGTTTGCCAGACAGGGCCAACAAAGTGCTGACCCGGGATAGAGCCGGATATACCGTTTCGAGCGAGCAAAAAACATCTGACGAAAGAAGAGGCCCACACATGGGGATTCCACCCACAACCACGCACTTGCAACAAACAGGCCGCGTGAACGTAATGACATAGGGAAGGCAGTTGTCATCGAACTCAAAGCCTCTCGGCCTGAGCGTAAATTGCGCGGCTCTGCAAAACCTCTTGAGGGAACATATTGCTGGGCTGCGATGAGTAAGTTGAAACCCACGTTGGATCCTTAGGATTGGGGGATTATGTAATGGGCTCCCACATACTTGTGGACCCTAAACCCTAAACGCTAAACCCTAAACTCTGAAGTCTCAGATCCGCACCCACGCAGAGACAGGATGCCAGTTGCTAGCGGCCTCACAAAATGCGCAGCATGGGATAACGTACACTATGGTTTAGGGCTTAGGGTCTAGCCTCAAACACATGGACATTAGAGTTGTAGACTATGTTGTGGCACAGTAAGGAATGGCTAGGCTAGGGTAGGGGGGATTCATATTCCGAATTCTTCAGACATCTACCCTTGCCATCCCTTCCCTAAAGGTTTTCCCCACATACCACCCAGCTCGAACAAAGGCAGAAGTATGATTAATGGCGCTATTGGCACTTTCGATGTGAACTGGAGCTACCGTACATGGTACGTCTCACAACCAACGTGCCAAAATCTAAAAAGACATTGGATCCCTCTCTTCGGGATCTTCAGCCGAGACCTAGTATTACAATTTTCGGAACTCCCACAAACTCTAAACTCGCAAGGCCCTGAGCCCTAAACCCTAGACCCCAACGCCTATACCCAGACCCTCCTATGTAGTTCCTTCTTGGATAGTATGTTATAATCCCTTACCTAAAACCCATAACCATCCTAAAAAGACCTTCATGAGCTATAGTCTGAACTCCTAGCATCCCCCTGAACAACCCCCATATTCGTCTCCTATATAAGCCCCTACATAACCCCCCTTAAAGAGCTTAGACTATAGCTCACATGGGAGCTTTTGGGTAGATCCTGTGGATGGCCTGATGTTCAGACTGAACTGGAAGACGAGCTGATTTAACCTCGACTGCTCCAGGAAACAGGAGGGACTGAGGTTGGGACCCCAGCCAGTAATAGCGGTAGATTAAGAAGGTGTATAGAGTTTAGGGTTTTTGGTTAGGTTGGGCTCCCAGCAACTAATAGTGAGCACAAGGGATACTGGTGATTAGAATAAGGCCTTTGTGTAGTCTTAATATAGCAGTTTCCCAAAACAAGGGGACCCCCAATATAGACCCCAAAATACTATAGTCCTTATTATTGGGACCCCAAAAGGGTACCCCTAATTTTGGGAAACCCCCATATACCACTATTACTTGGTGGGGGCCCGAACTAAGGAGAGACCTGACAAAAGGAGGGCCCCTTTGACAAGAGGATTGCCTGGACGTAAGTCCGGTTGTGAACAAAGCCACAAGAAGTAAAGGACCCCTTCACACGTTTGAGGGCAGCTTAGCCGAAAACGCCCTAAAGGCTTTTTGGTAGATAATCTCTATCTGCGACAGACATTGCATTAGAATCAGTAATCATTACAGAAAGACAATAAGAGCAAGAAGCCCAACTGATAACCATCGAATCAGCAAGCCCTCGAAACAACGATTCTGATACTATGGCAATACCTATAAGCAATAATCCGAAACGATATAAAAGGTCATGACAACCATGTGAGCTGGGGAGTAAACAAGCACTGCTGCTGAACCCTAGAAGCCTCAATCTTAAGGCACTGAACCCCCTAAAACCCCTAAATCCTACCATGTCTTAAAGCAAAACCCAAAACCCTAAATCCCTAAACTCTAACCCTAAATCCCTAAACCCAAAACCCTAAAACCCTAAATCCCTAAACTCTAAACCCTAAATCCCAAAACCCAAAACCCAAAACCCCAAATCCCTAAACCCCAAATCCCTAAATCCCTCAACCCAAAACCCCAAATCCCAAAACCCAAAACCCTAAATCCCTAAACTCTAAACCCTAAATGCCTAAACCCCTAAATCCCCAAATCCCTAAATCCCTATATCCCAAAACCCTAAACGTCTCGGGTATCAGCTTGCCAGGCCGATCATTCCGGTTCGTGGCCGTACGTTGCGTCTGACAGGGCAAGGGGAACTTGGCAAAGTAGAGGTACTTTAGGGTTTAGGGTTTAGGGTAAGCGTTTAGGGTTTAGGGTATAGTCCCTCTGAAGTAGATAGAATGTGGGGTTCAGGGTTTAGTGTATAGTCCCCCTTAAGTAGAGAGGGGTTGTATTGGGGTTTTCTTGGGATAGTGGACAAGAAAATGGAAACTACTACTTAGGGTTTAGGGTTTAGGGTTATAGTCCCCCTGAAGTAGGTAGAATATCGGGTTTATGGGGATCTTATTCTAGTTATGATATACCCCAAGCCATATTCTATCTACTTAAGGGGGACTATACACTGAAGGTGTTTGCAGTTTGGGGTCTGGGGTTTGAAGTTCTTCACAGTGTGGTTGGGACAAAGTGCTGCTGGAAAAGGTTGTACTGTACATGTTTACGTACATGTTTACCCTAATAGTTCATTGGAGCAGAATACTACCACAACAAGATGATTCCAAAAATTTGGAACCATGGAATCGACGAGCACGCAGAGGTCCCAAAACCCCCAACTCTGGAACCCTCAGCCGTGAACCTCAAACGCCGAATCCTGAATTCCCTCATCACCCAGACTCTGACCTCTGAAGCCCCAAAGCCCGAAGACGAGCACCCTCAAACTCGCAACCCAGAACCTGTGAGTGCTGAACAGTTGGAGGCCTGATCCAGTGCAGTCAGCCTCGCCTGTTGCATCAGATGTGTGGAAAGGCTTGATGGGGTCTCTCAAAATCAGGTTCGAAGGATAGGCAGCGTTGATGGATTTGGGTTCAGTGGTTTCTCAGTGGTCTTAGGACCCTATGTACCGTAGGGATTTGAGAAGGATCCTAAGTCTAGGCCCCGCTAACAAGGAGTGAGGATTTCAAAAGGGCTAGTCTAAGCAATCTCTCTTGGATGCTTCTACCAGGCTCCTTGTGCACAGCTTCTGCCGGGGCTCGGGGCTTGTAGAAGAGCTCCGTACGAGGATGCGCTGGCCATAGTTTTCTGAAAGTCTTAGGTAAGTTAGCAGAGGCCATGCTGGCGTCTTTTGGGGAGCATGGTTCGAGTCTCGAGGCACCACACGTTTTGGGCCCTCATAGGGCCTGTCGTGTGGACAACTTGCGCGAGACCACCCAAGCGCACCTCGCGCATCATGTTGTCAATGCGGAACCCTTCAGCAGATAGCTCCTCAAATGAAGTGCAGGTGCAAGAAGCATGAGTTTAAGCCGAATGTCCCACGCAAGAGTACCAGCAAGCTCTACCAGAATCTTCATCCTAAAGACGCGTAGTTAGCACGGGAGTAGTGATTAAAACCAGGATTGCTGGGGCTCGGCTAGAAGAGAAAGGTATGGGGGAGAGGCTCCAGGCCATCGTCTACTTACCACGCAGAGGTGATGCATGAATTATGCCATGCAGGCTGCGTCCTTGTCCAACGTTGTCGTCGAAGGATAGTTGGAGACCTGGCCGGCTTTCTTAATCCAGCGAACCCACTGCACTGCTCGCTCGAATCAATCCTTCTTTCATTGATTCATGCAACTTGTTTGAGGCGCAACCTGCAAGTGGGATGGAAGCCAAGCTGTTCCAGAGCCCTGTCCAATCCACGGAAGCCCCCGCGCAGTTCATTTCCTTTTAAGAAACAAGTCCACACTCTGTCTGGGGCATCTGTAGTCATGCCAGGAGCACCGCCAGGTAAGTGCCGAAGGTCCAAATACCTGGGTCCTCGAACAGCAAGGAAGCAAGACTTGCTGTGCCATCTGGCCACTTGGATCCACAGAGTAGATCAAGTAAGAAAGGCAGGACGACACGTCATGGAAGAAAACAGTGCCTTTACTCAGCAGCTTGCAGGGAACTTGGTCAGGGGCTTTCAGAACAGCTGCTCGTGAATAGACTGTCTTTTCTCTTTGAATCCTACTGGAAAGCTAGACAGTGCTGCCACCCAGCCATGAGATAAATCGCAAACTGCCCCCCCAAAAAATGCCATGCTATCCCAACTCCCAAACACCATCAAAACCTGCATTAAGCCTCTCCCACCTAGGGAGTCGAGTCCCTAAGCCCCAAACCCTAAACCGGAAGTTAAGTGGGATACTAGGGTTCTAGACCATGTCTCACATCATCCCTCATTACTCTGCAGCACCAAGAGACACCCAGTGACTCCCATAGACCCCCGATACCAGGGGAGCATGGACCAGGGGAGAAGTCCTGCTTTCGCGTCGGCGGATTCTGCGCGACCATTTCCCACCTGAGTCTCCAAACTAATGAAACCCCCAATCGGCTCTGCAAAGACCAGGGTCATGATCAAACGGACCCCTTCGGACTTCCAGTTTGTTTGGGGAGATTCTTAGGTTGCTGAACCTACTGCCAAGTCTTGTGCCTGCAACACGCTGAGGGTGGCGCCGGTAGTAGCCAGGTGGCATGTTGATGTCATTGACCTTCGGCTGAGCAAATCTTCAAAAAGAAATGCACAGGTCGGCTGGCATCACATATAACCCCAATAATATAGTAGTTTCCATCTGATTTTCGATTATCCCAATATTATCCCAATATATACCCTAAAATCCCCATATAACCCCAATATATACGGACACTTTGCCTCTACACCTGCAGGCTGGAGCATCCTTAAGGATTAAGCGCCCCACCTTCAGCGTGATCTGTGGGGAACCATCAGGCCTTGCTTGAGCACGGTTGAGGACGGTGCATGCCGTGCAGTCCCTTGTCGGCTACATCGGCCCCAAGCAAATGCTGAAGTGGAGCTTGCTATTCTGTCACCAGCGCTGGTACTTCCCCTTATGTCTCACAAGTCATGGAAACCAGAAAGGCGTTGAACGCCTATTGTCTTTCACTTCGGCTAAAAGCAAGGGCGTGTTGTTTGATCAGGTTGTTACAAGTACCCACCATGTACCAGAGTGCCAGTACCTCACCCTGGGTGTCTGGACGCCAACTGGTAGACGCAGAGCAAGTCCGGCGGGAAGGGTGCCGATTCTGCAGCAGGTCTTGCTCAAAGGGTGATACATGGTTCGTCATATTTGCACATTGCGACGTGAGCAACTCCAGCGAAACTGCAAGAAAGGCTTGTGGCACCTGGTAGCGCCACCATCGTGTCCGGGCACGTGAACGCGAATCCCGTAGTGGCATCGCTGCCTCAGAGATGCGGACTTTTCATATGCTAAAGTCTCAGGTTGAGGTTTCAAGGATTGAGAACAGCAGAGTTGTTGGTTTCTCTCATCGGGGACCCCCAGCATGTGGGCATGACATGCTCAAAGCTCATCACCCCAGTGCTTCTGAGTCAAGCACCCTTCACAACAATGCCTGTATTTGGCGTCAACGTCGTAACCTGCAGTGCCGCCACTGCCCGAGGGCAACAAAAGAGCACATTCACTTGGCCCTACAGGTATCAGCGCAACTCTCCTACGCATTTCAGCCTCACAGCATTGGGCATGTAAGAACGGGTGTATATGCATATAATTGTCGATATATTGATATACACTTGTGTGTGCACACATACAATTTGTTTGCGCATGTCTTACTTTATGCAAAAAGCTGTGAAACACGTTCTGTGTGTGAATGTATAGGTGCGCTTGTGCAAGTAAGATCCCGGCAGTTTGGACTGCAAACTCGATACGATTGTCCTGCGCTGGAAGAATCTGCTGCTCAGTACAAGGAAATGCTTGATGACTAAATGCACCAAAACTCATCAACCATAACAGCCTAATAGGCTGATCACAAGCATACCCTGCTGCTGCGACAAGACAACCGTGGCAGCCATGAGCACAATGCTGCGTCCCCATAGTTCACCAAATTGGTGCTGGAGTAGACCTGCTCGATCAAGCATTTGCGGCCTTTGATAATTTCTGAGGCAAACGAGAAAAATGATTCAAAAATCTCGCCTCCGCGTTTGTAAGTGCCGCGATGGATGGAGCCTCCACGACGTTGGCAAACAGCCTCTCACCAAAGGCATAACACTCGGCGATCACTACGGCCATCATACGGGAAATGGCGATGAAGCTTCGTACCCATCTCACTGTTTTGCTATGTCAACTTCCAACACACATGCGTAACGGTGAGGAAAACTGAGTTTGGACTAGAAGACTGGCCATGTTCGCTTTCGATAACAATTGCAGCAACACCTGCCATCGTCGTCGTAGCGGTCGCAGTTATTGACATAGCCATAGCCAGCCAGTGGAAGCAGCTGTAGTGGTAGTTGCAGCAACAGGAGCACAAAAACTATCGAGCACTAGCAGCAATAAGTGGCGGTGGTGGCAGCAGTGGCCTTGAAAGTACCGGCCAGACAAGCAGTAGCGGCCGGAATGTAGCTTGATCAATGGGAGCCGGCCTCTTCTGAATGTTGGAATTTCGATATCCAAACCTGGACAGGCAAGCACGTCTGCAAGTCATCGCTGCCGAAAGCAGCAGCTACAGACTCATCAGCATCACATGGAATATCATGGAATTGTGCCACAATCAAGGTCCCTGATTCTGGTGCGGGGTATGCAGGCCCCCCACCATCAACACATGCCCACTTGGGCCCATGCTCAATGAAGAAGGCGTTGGATGACATCACAGGGTTGAAGTTTGGCCTGCAGCACAGCCATCTGCCCAAAACCCTCCTCCCAACAAAGCCAGTGGAAGCTTCAAAAAATGTTCGAGATCCCGCAAGTACACATGGTCCAAGGCCAATTCTGTTTATGTGTGGGGTTCCCCTTAAGGATAATAAAGAGTACAGCTTCCTGAGCACTTCCAAAGTTTCAGTGCGTTCTCCTGCCCCACCCTCCCACCCCCCATCCCACCCCCTGAGCCAGTGGCACTTCCACGGTAGCCTGAAAGCCGTACACGGTGTTGCCCGCTAGGCTGATGGATTGCCAGACCTTTGGCAGGTAATGTTTCTTGTGCCCTGGGGCCAATCATACTAATAGTAATAATAATAAAGATAGTACTAATAGTAATACAAGAATTGGTAATAATAACAATAAGAGTAATAGTAATAAGAATAATGGTATTAATAAGAACAATAATAGCATTGCCAACAGTTCTACCCTCTGAAGAGTGATGATCTCTGTGCAAGGTGCTGTGAGCACAAAGGATGAAAAATCTCAAAGAACGTGCAAACAAGCGACCGGGAACAACTCCCTTTCCGTTGCACTGGTACACTTTGCCAGCGACAGATGAGCTGGCCGGGTTCCTTCTGCTATTTCCAAGACGACGAGATTAAACAAACAACAACATGCGGAATCTATCCATAACATCCAGAAGCACCTGACTTATTGGAAGTGTTGCAGACCACAAGCCTTCATCTAACTGTTGACTTCCTTCGTCACCCCTTGTGGGATTTACAAAAAATTAAAGTTGCTTATACAAAACTGCGGCTTCCAGATTCTCAAATCATCCCCGGAGCGTCCCTCTTTACTTCCCTTCTGATCCTGCACCGTAGACTCCTCGCCAAGCCCAGACCCCAACGCTAGATGCGTTTGGTAGGTTGACAAAAATCATAAAGACCCTTTTGGACCAAATTTTGGTTTCCCCAGAAAAGGATCACAATTTCGGCCACGCCATATGAGCCATAGCTTCAACTCCTAGGAATAATCCCTATAGATCCCTGTAGTAGTCCCTATCCAATCCCTTCTGTAACCGCCTTTTCAGAGTTTAGACGCTAAACCCTAAACCCTACATGATCCTCTAAGTAACCCCCCTTTAAGAAGTTTAGACTACAGCTCATATGCAAAGGCAACAGGCAGCAGGGAGTCTTGCCAGCTGATTGTTGTTCTGTACAGCTGGAATGCCTGGCCAATCCTGGGCAGTTCTGGGCTCAGGGTTTAGGGTTTTAGGGTTTAAGGGCTTTAGGGTTTAGGGGATGTGGAGTGTGGGAACACAACGGAATTTCTGCACTGTTCCGTAAGTGTGGGGCTCAAGAAATTCAGATATCATAAGCAAGCCAGCGAACAACACCTGCAACTGCTACAGCAGTGATACGACCCAAAAACCCTGCTACAAGACCCTACCTGACCACGATTCCCTGTCCACCGTCCCGAGCCCAATATTCAGCTATCTGCCTGCAGGAGCGTAGGAATTTTCAAGCGTGGCAAGGCCAGAACTCTAATTTTGCGAACGACCCGATTTACAAATGCAGAATGCCATCCCGAAGGTAAGCACTGCTTTCGAAATAGGCATGTTTTGGGGGATTCTAGGGATGTACACGCAGTATGAGGGTTATACACACCAACCTTGACTTCACATCAAGTTTAGAATAACGACCCAAAACACCTGAACATCATCAAGAGGGGTATGGTTCCACTTTCTTTGAGGGTCCAGGTGGGCCTCCCTGCTGAAAATTCAATTCAGCAAGGTTCAAGGGTTTAGGCTTTCCCTTAAACCCCTAACCCCCAAACCCCTATAGGCTTTAGGGTACATCATTATTTTCCAGGACCCTTCAAAAAGACCACCTCGCAATAAAGGTTCTGCCTCTTACCGGACAGCTAGGTCAACGAACCATGCCGAGGCCCTGATACTTCCCTTTTAAATGCTCTAATGGGAACCCTAAAGGTCCAAGTACCTAATCATCATATACTTAACCCAAATCTGCACTAAAACTACTCTTACCAAAGCCATCAGTACCTAATTCTTAGGCACTTGGACCTTTAGGGTAACGACGTGTATTCAACAGACTGGTGGGGATCCCCTACTACCAGGGGAAGTGATTAGATCAGGCCCAGTAGCTGCGATGGTGCCATTGGAGCGCCTGAAGAAGTTGTTGGGATCTGGGTCCCACTTGAAACCTGACATCCAAGGGAGCTGCATTGATAACCCTTATATAACCCCTATACACCCTATAATTCCAGTTTCCATGTAATTTTCCATGTTCTGTTCCATTTGAAATATGATTCTCCATTCTCCCAATATAATCCTAATTTAACCCAATATTACCCCAATGGGTACCTATATCCCCCCCCCACGCCATGATCATTGGGTGCTTGCAGAAGTTGATGCAAATTATCAAAAGCGCAGACCTTTCTGAGAATTTCGCTGGGGTGCGGACTGGATTGAGGACCAGCATCTATGCAACAAGATTGATGAACCTATCTAAATGATTCTAAATTTACAAGGAGCAAAGCATGGCTTTGTGTGGCCCCAGTGTGAGCACCACGTGGTGGGGTGGAGGGCAGAATGGGCTCTGAACATCATAGATTCAGCATGTGAATCTTCGGTTTCCTGGCCAACCCAACACTTCGTGATTGCAGCAGTCCTTTTTTGACGTTGACTATTCGAAGCTGCTGCTTACGCCCTGTTTCAATATGAAGCGGCCAATGCGGCTCTAGTTGGCAAATGAGAAATCTACAGCACTCCTATCTGAACCATAGCGCGTTCCCCCCACAGCCTTCTTCCTAGACAGAGGGATGACGGAGAATTAAAGATCTCTCTACAGGAGTCCCATGAGGCTTGGGTGCAGACCAACCGGCGCTGAGATGCGCAGCGAAGTATCGAGGTCAATCTGCAAAGGCGACAGCTTTGGTTCTTCCCGCCCCAAGCAATGAAATCCCTCCTGAGATTGTGATTCCAACGTGTGCTAGTGAATATGGAAGGATGGGCATTTGAATTATCAAGCGGATCCAAGGCAGTTCTGGTCTAGCAGGCACCTGCACTAAGTTCCACTCCAAAGGAGTTCAAAGACTGAGGTCGGCGCAGGGAACTGGATGGGGTAGAAGATGACCTGGCTCCCATCATGATGGCTTTTAGAGACAGTGAGCACTCCATGACAGCCGCTGTGCAAACAAGCCTGGAACAGGATTCATGAGCAATTCAAAGAGCAGATGTCATGCAGCACTCAGGCAGCGCGGGCCTGTGTGTTGGCGTTGGTCATGGATGTTGGGCGGAGGCTTAAAACCTGAACCTGGCAGATGCAAGCTGCAGCGGTAATCCTGCAACCACTATGAAACAGACTGGGCCAGGCACCGGAATGTTTTGGCCCACTTCGTTGTACATGCCCCAGGACTTGTGGTAGAACCTCATCAGAGACAGCTCACATCTATGGCTCTATGGCATTCAGAGCCGGCGATAGCTGCAATCTGCAGCATCAGCACCACCCGAATCACCACGTCAAAATGACATAGTTGGGACTGGCGCAAATTTCTACAAGTATTGCTTACTTCATCAAAAACACATTATTCCAGAAAGTCTCTCAAAGGATCCTCAGGGGTGCAGGCGCTGTCTGCTCTGCTGCCTGGAACTTGTTGAACTTGATCGTGGACTGCGAGCCTAATCGAGCTCGACCGTATGATTCTATACTGTAAATGCCATGGCTGCTGGACCGCGCCTTCAAGGGGATAGCCGTTGCTGTCTTGAAGCCAAAGATACCTGAAAGCAGTGCAGTGCTCTCATCTGGCTGACATTCTTCCACACATCGTGCAATCAGCTCCCGCCCCCTCAATACTGCCATCTAGTCAGCGGCCCCACAAACGCTGTGTTGAAAGGGCATCTAGTGCGCTGCACTTCACGTTCATCACCGCCCTTGATGGAGATCTACAGGATACTGCAGGGTGCTGGGCGGGCCCCAGCGGCTGGATGCAGCCAAGGTGCCAGTTTTCGTGCTGCGTGGTGTCGTAGGTGGTTGGATGAAGGACCTTTGTTCCAGTGGAGTGGGATGTCAGGACGGCCATGCTGGGGCCGTAGTGATTCGCATATGAAGCGGTCCCGATACATGGAGGCTTTTCCATAATGAGGGGTACCATTTTCGGGGTGCCCATAATAAGCGTTATATAGTAGGTTGGCGTTTATATTGGGGTCCCCTATTTATTTTGGAAACTACCACATCTCATACTGCGGCCCCGGTCACGCGAAGCTCGTAGCCGTAGTAATAGGGAGCATCGACGATACCACCAACCTGCCCACACATGCCCACGCTGCATCCATCAAGGCAAGTGCTTCAGATTGACTCCCTACAGCTGTGCGCAAACCTGCAGACTCTTAACAGTACAGAAATCTCACAAACCTGACAATCACACTTCTTCACGCCGTAATTCTGTGATGAGACTCCCTTCGCACCTGCAGCACGGCCCGGTTGTAAGTGGTCTCACCGATCGGATACCTCCCATGCATCAAAAGAGCTCTTGAGGCATGAGTCGGGCGCTTCTGAAAGTTATTGCTTTCTTAAAAGGGAGTCTGCAGTGCATTCCACGAGGAAGCCCGAAAAATCCTAAAAAGACACACCTAATCTTTGAAGATTGCTACCTGCTATTGCTGATGAAGTGTCTTCATGGAACTCTCCAGCTAAACCTACAACCCAGACCCTCGGCAGCCTTTGTCCTTGGCAGGTTCCCATGTTCTTCAACCTGCAGGTAGTGTGACTGACCGGTGTGCCAGCTCTTCCGCCACTAGTTACTCACTAGCTGCGGGTCCGGGATTTGTACACCAGCTGCTGGCGGTTGCTGAGAATCACAGGTCACCGCAAGGGACACGTGCTCTAAGCTCAGTCACAATGCAGCTCTTTCAGCATCCGACGGCTGTCAATGGCTGTTCCTGCCCAACCCCTGTCCATGTTGCTAGTAGGCCTGAAGAGCTGAAATTCGAACATGCCCACGAAGGCATAGTATCGCCTTATTCGCATGCAAGGCAGATGTGGCTTTAGGGGTCGGGCGTGACGTTTGACAACATACTATGTAGATAGGTAGCCCTAATCTCGACCTCATACTATGTACTACAATCCTTCTTATCGGATTTTATAGGCACCCCACAACAGCGACTCCTACTTGGGTCCCCCATATATCAATGGGACACCGTGGCTCGGAGTCCACATCAACTCTCCATTCTTGCATGGATATTTCTCAAAATGTTCCCTCTAACTCTCTCAGTAGAAGCCCTGAAAAAAAGCAGCCCGTCATCTCATTATAATCCAAACATCCCTTTGGGTCCCTGGAAGTCCACCATTTTGATAAACTGTCGAACCCTACGATAAGAGCTGCTTGAACTTTCGATCCAGTCGAGATGCGAGCTAACTCGTAAAAAAACATAAGGCTATATAGGGTTATGTACGGCTATATCAGGATATATCAGGATTCCATACAGTTATATAGAGCTATATAAAGGTTTAGGAACATCACTCAGAATCAAATGGGAAAGAAATTGGAAAAATGAAATGGAAACTGTGGCTTTGATTGTTGACACTGGGCTTTCCCGCAGTCTATCTTTGGACTCTAGGAGGATCGTATTCCGGTTAAACTGAAGCCATCACAGTTGTTCTGTCTTCTTAATGTCAAGCCTGAGCTGTATGTTCGCTGCTACTCTAGATTGCAACAACAAGACTCAATACAAAAAGAGTTCCAAGCAAGATCCCCAAGAAACTTGCTGCTTTTGGGCCGAACAACCACGAACATGTTTCATCCTTGCTAGTCGTAGAGCAGCATCAGTATCCCACCCTAACTCCCTGCAAAAACACGACTACAGGACCCTCAATCTTTACCGATATAATTGCTATCGGGAGTTATTCAGACCTCTACAGTAGGCCCCTGTTCTCCGCACCTTCTTCAAAACACAAATAAACCCTAAACCCTGACCACTGGGATGGGGAGGGTTGGGATTGGGGATTTGGGGTCTGAGCCTTACGACATTTTGGGATGTCGTAAGGCTCAGACTTTACGATTTAGGATGTAGATTTTAGGATTTGGGGTTTCAGGACCGCAAGGCTTACATCAGCCCCGTTTGGGAATTTCTCACCAGTAGGGTGCCACGTAAACCATAACAAAAACCCAACTTAACACCCCGTAGTATGGCGCAGATGTACAGTCCCTCCATATCACCGATACTAAATACCCCCATACACTCCCTAAACCCTGAACCCCTAACCGTAACTCCGAACCCTACTAACAACCTGAACCCAGAACCCCAGACCCTAAATCCCAAACCTAAACCCCCAAACAATAACAACAAAACCCCAAACCCCGAACTCTAACCAAAATCCTAAACCCTAAATCCCTCCCTAAACCCTATATTATACCCCTAAGGTCCCCCTAAACCCTGAAAATGCCAAAATCCCGGGGCTCTGGCTCCGGCAGGTCCCGGGCTGTGCAGTTTGGCCCAAAGTCAAAGCCGCTGGGGGCGTCGAAGACCACGAAGCCGTTCTGACCTGTAGGTGTGTGTATACATGTATAGTTCTATACATCTATGTATGTAGGTATAGACCTGTATATATTTATCTATATATGCATACATGTATTTATTTGTTCAATTGTATATATAAATAGATGGATGGATTAGGTATATGAGGGTCTATAGGGATTCTCTCAGAAGAGTGGAAAGTAGAGTCTGGAAGCTAGCAAGTAATTGCTTGGCTTCGAAAGGTTCCAGGCTCCAGTGTTCAGGCTTCAGAGCCGGTGCTCTACGATCTTCTAGGCTTCAGGGCTCAAAGCAGGGGCTTCCAAAGTCTAAGATGGACCTTGGCTTGCGAATGCATAGTTTATGTTGATGTTGTGGTTGTTTTCTTGGGGGTTGGGGTGGGCTCAAGGGTCTAGGGCTCCTAGGAATATAGCTTGGGAGGGGACGCATGAGCTGCTTCTGAAGCATCATGCAAGGGCCGTTATGTGACACTCTTAGACGTTTTGGATTCGGATGTTGGGTAGCATGATGCTTGCTTTCCGACTATATACACTTCCTGCATGCTCTGACCACAAGACTTTGTCTCGAGAGCCTTGGGAGAACCACTCGAAAATTAAGCCCGTGTATAAAACATCTCACAAGAATTGAAAGCTATGCTGAGCAGTTGGTTGGTCTACCATGTTCAGAGCTGGTCACTGCGTGAACATACGAGTCCTGGAACCTGTCATTGTTGCTCCAGGTAAATCCTAAACCCAAAATCAAGCCAAGCAATGTTGAGTCCGGCGCCAACGTATGTTGAGGTCCGGAAGAAGATGAGCAGGAACTCCTCACTTGGGGGGTTTTGTCAGAACAGCGGTGCCCTTTGGGACTCCAGGGGCGTGTTGCATCGTGATTTCAAATTATATGCATCCGTTGAGGACTATGGCAGTTTCCCAAACCTAGTGTCCCCAATATAGACCTCAAAATACTACAATCCACTTTTATGGAGACCCCCCAAAAAGGGACCTCTAATGTTCTGAAACCCACGACTCAAACGACTATGAAGAACTAGGATAGCACCCAGCTATAGATCAGACCTTTGCCCTAATCCAGTCACGGGGCAGGGGTTTAGGGTTTAGGGTTGCGACTAAGACCGGTACCCAACAGTCGTGGCCAACAATAATCCCTTGCTTCTCGAGTCTTGACTTTAATTCCCCTGGCTGCGCCGGCCGCCGGCAGTGATGTGGGGGTTTCCATAAACATATAGCCCTGGTATACTTTTTATGCTCATTCTAGAGACTCCTGCAAAAGGGGGTTCCGAACTTCTGGGATGCCGACTCACTGTAAACCTCTATGCCAGCCCAGCTTCTATCTCATTTGTTTCATGTTCTGTTCCATGTGATTCTCTGTGATTGTCTGGTAAATACCCAAAAGAACTGAAAAACGCATCCTGCCTTTGTGAGTAGACTAAGTTGCGATGAACAGCGATTGCTCAGCAAGTGATGTAGTCAGCATTGGCAGAGCTGCTTCAAAGTAGCCATGTTCAATCCAAAAGAAGCTGCTAAGCTGCGCACAATTTGTCAAGGAAGTCTCTCAGAATCTACATGGGCAATAATCTAAACTCCTTAGTTAAGTGGGGTTGTATAAGTGATTTTTGGGGGGAGTCTGATAATTAGGGGGGACACTAGGGATTTAGACCAGGGCTAGCTTTCAAGAGCAAAGTCCCTAGCTTACAACCCGCAACCCTGAGACGCTAAATACCACCACCCTTAACACCAAAGTCCAACTCTCTAAATCCCGAAACTCCAAATTCCACCCTACATGGCTCACCCCCTAAGGTCTACCCTACATCCCCCTAGAGTCTAAATTTCACTCTACATCCCTCAACTCAAAGTCCCACCTTCCCACCTTACATTCCAAAACTCTCACTTCCTCCCGACATCCTTAAACCGTACTTTCACACAAAATCCTACAGTCCACCTAAACCATGAACCCGTGAAACCTGAACCCGAAATCCTAAAACCCTAAATCCTAAACTCTAAATCCTAAATCCCTAAACCCCAAACCCTAAATCCCTAAACCCTATATCATACCCCCTATGGTCCCCCTAAATACGTTTAATCTCTTGTCTCTCCGGCCTCCTCTCGGCGGGTGTCGAAATTGGGCCCGCAGCAGCTACGCACGAAGCTCGAGGGCTGAACCAGCTCCTGGTTTGGTATGTTCATATATGGGGGTCTCCCATATTAGGAGTACCCTTTGGGGGGTCCGTTTAATAAGGATTATAGTATTTGGAGGTCTGTATTGGGGTCCCCTATTTTGGGAAACTGCCATATGATGCCGTGTAATGGTAGTGTACTGGATTGTATTTTTCTACGCTGTACAATTCATATCGCATAATGCATACAGAGTATACATTAGGAAATTATACAAATCTCATGCAATGTAATATGATATGGCATAGACTATAAGGGCTGCCAGAGCTTGGTGGCTCCTTGGTGGGCTTCACGGGAATCTAGAAAAACTTGATCTAATGATAAAAATGAACTCCCCCAAACTCCTTTTACAGCAACTAACCCCAGTATAACCCCTACAATAACCCTACATATTCCCTAGTTTCCATGTCATTCTCCATCTTCTTTTCCATTTAGATTCTCCATTATAACCCCTAAACTCTAAGCCCCAACTAGAATGTTCTAACCTCAGGGGCAGCCAGCTTAAAGACAAACTGGAGGCTCTTAAGCCTGCACCCCTATGTTCAGGATTAGAGGTCTGGGCTGCCAGGGTGGGTATCCACGAAGACAGAGCAAGATCAGTCCTCTGAGAGCATGTTGATGGTGGCTGGATTGCCTGCAGCATCAAGGAAACCAGGTCACGAACTATGACTAACCTGTGTTGAAAGGTTTCGCACAGAGAGGCTGTTGCGGCGTTGGTCTGCGATGCCCGGCCCGAACACCCTCATAGCACAGGATTTCACTTAAAGCCAACCAGTGGTTTTGAGGAGAACTAGAATCCAGAATCTGGAGCCCAGTATCCAGGGTCTGGTGTTCTGGGTCCGGCTGGATTCCTGACGAGAGATATCTCGGGATGCAGTTGCAGAACGAAGCACATCCACATCCTATGTCCTAGCCTCAAATCATGTTAGGATCCCAAAGCAAGCCAGAGACACCCTAAACCCTAAACCCTAAACCAGGAGCTGCATGATCCCCACTTCTTCTGTCTACACCCCGGGTTAATGTCCTCAAGTGCCTGCGTCATGCCTTAGGTAATTAGAAAAAGGTTTGTGAGCAGATTCAGACATGAGCACACTAGGAATCTGAGGGAACAAAATCCTACCCCAACGGGTTTAGATTTTAGGGTTTAGGGAACTGAGATTGAATTCAGTCTCCTGGTTTACTTTTACCCTTGAAATCAGACCAAACAAGCACATCCACGCCTGCCCAAAGGTCTTGCCCCAGGGTCTTCTCCTTGGTTCACCGCATGTGGCATACTCAACTACCCACATGAGCTATAGTCTAAACTCCTTAGAGGGGTATTGCAGAAGATTAAGTAGGGATCCTTTTATGGGGGTGATTCAAGGGGATACTAGGAATTTAGGCTGTAGCTCATATGCCGAACACAACCGCAACCGCAGTGCAGTGGACATGATCTAGCCACCAGTCGGAGTTCTACAGGCGTTGAAGCAAGTAAACTACGAATTCTCCTTTTTAAGGGCTGTAATATCCCTGGAGATTTCTGAGGGATGGTATCTTGGGATCCTATAACCCTAAACCCTAAACCCTAAATCCTAAACCCTAAACCCAAAATTGCTAATTGAGGGGGTATACTTTTCAAGATACTACTGACCTATATACACCCTATATACACCCTATATAAACCCTACATAAACCCTATATAAACCCTATATAAGCCCCTGCCTCTGCCAAGGAGATGAAAGGCACTTCTGGCATGTCTTTTGGAGCAGGATCCGTGATGCCCTGCAGGGACGCCAGGCTCTTGCTGAACATTTGGTTATATGGGGGGGAGTATAGGGTTTATATAGGGCTTATATAGGGTTTATATAAGGTCTATATATAGGGTGTATATAGGGTTTATAATGGGTTCATATAGGGGTTATATGGGGGATATGTAGGGGATGTATGCTGCTGATACTCAAAACCCTTCGGTTACCTCATCGAGTTTGCACATGTCATTGCTCGACTTCCCAAGATACAAGGTGCTCACTTGGATCATGCAGGATTCTAGGTATCAATCGTAGAAACGCGTCTTGCATGGGTTAAGTTACTGTGGCCGCAGGAGCCCATAGGTGCCCAAATGAACGATACTGCTCATAGGGGGGGACATACTGTTGGTTATATTGGGATAATGGAGAATCAAATGGAAAAGAACATGGAAAATAAAATGGAAACTGCTACATATAGGGTTATTAGTGGATTATAGGTTTTATAGTCTAATCTCCTAGTATCCCCCTTGATAAACCCTATAGTAGTCCCCGATGTAATCCCCTATAACAACCCCCCTTTAAGGAGTCTATAACTCAAATGAAGTCACTTGCCCTGCATGGCCTCTGGGTCATAGTGCCCCAAGCTGCTGAGCTTTATGGTAAGGACCTTAGTGAGTGAGAAGTTCTGCAAGATCAACGCCCGAAGTCCTTACACGCCACCTGAGTGGTGGGCTACGGAAACATGAGCAACTCGCCCAAGACTACATGGACAGATACGCAAATGCAAGACGTCACCAAGTGGCCCTCAAAGTACAGTAGACCTTAGCAAGGATCCCCCCCTGTAGTAGTGACTATAAGGCATAATAGGGATTATATATGGGTCCTCTCATATTGCTCCTACTATACCGCTATTACAGTGTGGGCGATCCTCCCCAAGTAAACCATGTATGTAAACGACAACAAGAAGGCTGCGAGCAACGCCTCGGTAATCCTACCGATCCTACGTAACAGTAATAGTGACAGCAATAACAATAGTAATAGTAATAGTCATAGTAATAGTAATAGTAACAGTAATTGTAATCGTACTTGTAATCGTCATAGTCATAGTAATAGTAGCATGGGTCTGGGTCTTATGCATTGCGGAGGTCAACAGTCGGGCAGCTGAGCTTGCAACGTTGTCAGGATCAGTTTTTGGTAGGGCGTTGGTGGGGTTGACGACCTTGGTGAGAAAACCAGCATCTGGATAAAGTGTCGCAAACAAGGGCATGTGGCCAAGAAGGACCGCGAAAGGACAAGCTACTTGTCTTACGTGAGGACACCACTCAGTAAAGCCCGATAGTCTGCGGTCCGCGCGGTGGCTGCCACGTAGAAGACCATTCCTGCATAAATCGCCTGGCGATCAGGGTCGCAGCTGATTTCAGTAAGACTTTGCAGCAAGAAGCAGAATCTTGAAATGATCTCTCCACCAGAGTAACAAACTAATTCGTGCTTCTGTTGATCTTGCCTCTGATTTTGGGGTTCTGAGGAGATGCTTAAAGTCAGTTTTTGCAGGGAGGCTGTGAGGGCAAACATCATACAAATACGGATAAACAGATCAAAATTAGGGAATGAGAGGGCTCTCTCTGAGAGAGCTCGATTTTCCCGAGAACATACTACGCCAAAGGAGGGAAATGCAGCCGCCCCTTCGCAAACCATTGAGGAATGTGGTAAGTGTTGATGGGAGTTCACTACTACCTGGACCCTGTGTGTGCGCGATAAAGTA